TGTCCGTCCTCCAGAATTCTCCCAACTTTACTCACACCGATTTCCTTGCTATTTCTTGACAACTCGAGTATGCTTTCCCCTCAGGCTCTTGACACTTGCTGTTCCCTCTGAATGGAATCATCCCTTACTCCATTCAGGGTCTCCTTAAGTGTTACCCTATCACAGAAACCTTCTCTGACCACCTTTAAAAAATAGTTTAAGAAACAAAACAATGAACATAAGGGAAGTGAAAGAAAATAAAATAAGATAAAAACAGAGAAGGAGGCAAACATAAGAGACTCTTAACTCTAAGAAACAATCTGAGGGTTCCTGGAGAGGAGGTGGTTGGGGGATGGGATAACTGGGTGATGGGCATTAAGGAGAGCATTTGAAGTAATGATCACTGGGTGTTATATGCAAGTGGTGAATCACCAAATTCTATCTCTGAAACTAATAATACAGTATATGTTAGTTAAATAAAATTTAAATGCAAAATTTTAAAAAATAGTCACTTTCCTTCCCACATACACCAACTTCTCACCTGCATTAGTCTTTTTTAAAAATTTTTATTTATTTTTTAAATCTCTTTCCAGTGTTCCAAAATTCATTGTTTATTCTTTGTAGTCCTTATAAACACTCACCAGTTGTATATTTATTTGCGTGTTGCTTTGCTAACTATCTCTCTTAACTAGAATGCAACTCCGTAAGAATGGTGAATTTATCTGTTTTATCACGTGATCACCAATACCTAAATGACTATGTGATTCATTGTAGATCCTTAATAAATAATTATAAACAACAAATAAATTAAGTTTGAGTCCAGTTGTATCACTTGTTAAGTCTTTGAGTCTTTGATGATTGTAGTTTATTCCCTGAAGTAACGGTCTAGATATACTTCTAGAACATTTTCAGAGTTATAGCTTGTTTTCTTCTTTGCTGAAATATTTCAATATATGTTCTCACTCAGTGCCTGCACTCCTCACTTTTGGCTTGATTTCCTGGAAATCTCAACAGCTGGGTGATTTCAAATCATTTTATAATTTTTACTCAGAAGTAATAGCTTATAAAGTGCCAAGTAAACATCAGATAAATGTTATTTAGTAAATTGCAGAAATACATTAATATGAGATTATATAAAAGTTTGCTGCCTGATTTAATTTGGAAAATTACTTTGTACGCACTGATTATACACCTAACAGAAGTGATTCAAAATGTCCATGTAGAATCTAAGCCAGAAAATATCTGTCAGTAATAAATATAACATGCTTTCAAAAATCCCAAAGCAATGCACAGTGCTTATGCATTTAATTTGTTCCTTAAGGAGCCCCATTCTATACTAAAACTACCTCTGGGAATGTGCACTCAGAGCTTCATTTTTTGTCTCCGTCTAATTATAGGCTTCAACATCTCCTTATTTGTAAGATTTTGCTTGAATGTACTAAGATGGTCATGCTACTTTTTTTTTTTTTTGTGGATTGTTTTGTGTGTATGCTAACTTTTTTTTCTTTCCTAATTTTTAAAATTTATTTATTTATTTTTATTTTTATTATTTTTTTTTATTTTCCGCATAACAGTATTCCTTGTTTTTGCACCACACCCAGTGCTCCATGCAATCCATGCCCTCTCCAATACCCACCACCTGGTTCCCCCAACCTCCCACCCCCGCCCCTTCAAAACCCTCAGGTTGTTTTGCAGAGTCCATAGTCTCTCATGGTTCACCCCCCCTTCCAATTTCCCCCAACTCCCTTCTCCTCTCTAACTCCCCTTGTCCTCCATGTTACTTTTTTAAAAAAATTTTTATTTATTTTTTAAAATTTCTTTTCAGTGTTCCAGAATTCATTGTTTATGCACCACACCCAGTGTTCCATGCAATATGTGCCCTTCATAATACCCACCACCAGGCTCACCCAACTTCCCACCCCAATCCCCTCCAAAACCCTCAGAATGTTTTTCAGAGTCCACAGTGTCTCATGGTTCATCCCCCACCTCCAATTTCCCCCAACTCCTTTCTCCTCTCCATCTCCCCATGTCCTCCATGTTATTTCTTATGTTCCACAAGTAAGTGAAACCATATGATAATTGACTCTCTCTGCTTGACTTATTTCACTCAGCATAATCTCTTCTAGTCCTGTCCATATTGGCTCAAAAGCTGGATATTCATCCTTTCTGATGGAGGCATAATACTCCATAGTATATATGGACCACATCTTCCTTATCCATTCATCCATTGAAAGGCATCTTGGTTCTTTCCACAGTTTGGCAACTATGGCCATTGCTGCTATGAACATTGGGGTACAGATGGCCTTTCTTTTCATTACATCTGTATGTTTGGGGTAGTGCAATTGCAGGGTCATAGGGAAGTTCTATTTTTAATTTCTTAAGGAATCTCCACACTGTTTTCCAAAGTGACTGCACCAACTTGCATTCCCACCAACAGTGTGAGAGGGTTCCCCTTTCTCCACATCCTCTCCAACACACGTTGTTTACTGTCTTATTAATTTTGGCCATTCTAATTGGTGTAAGGTGGTATCTCAATGTGGTTTTGATAGAATCTCCCCGATGGCTAGTGATGATGAACATTTTTCCATGTGTCTGTTCATGCTTTTTGTGGGACAGTGTAGTGTATCAAAAGACTCCTTTCTGTCTTTATAGTGATGTTTCTTTTATTGAAATTTAATTAATTTGATTTTTTAAAGATTTTATTTATTTATTTTAGGGAGAAAGAGAGAGCACAAGTGGGAGGGGCAGAGGGAGAGGGAGAGGGAATCTCAAGTAGACTCACACTGAGTGCAAGCCTGATGAGGGACTCAATCCCATGACCCTGGGATCACGACCTGAGATGAAACCAAGAGTTGGTCACTGACTGTACCACTCAGATGCCCCTAATTATTTAGTTATTTAATTTTATAATTTTTTCAGAATTACAGAAAACTTTCAAAGCTAGTACAAAATATTCCCATATGACCCTGCCTAGGCTGAATAATAGCTAAATCACATATTTAGGAAAAAAAAAAAAAAAGAAACACCAACAGGTGATGACAACTGTGCAAGCCCATTCAATACATGTAGCTAGGTCCCCATTGGTAGTTTAATTGCTTCTTCTGTAATAAGGGGGGATGAGGAGCTGCAGATGCTCTCAAGGGACCATCCCCTGAGCCCCATCTCTCTCTATCTCACTCCAGATGCCTTATATTAGCCTCTGAAATAGCAACAGCTATCCACATGACATCATTTTAGAAAGACTAGATTGCACACTGGGCTCTGTAATCATCATACATTCATCTGAATGTTAATAGTCATCATGGCACTCGGGTTTCCTCCCTACCTGAGGAGTTGCTTTGAGCCTGCTACAGTGGCCAAGGAACTCACCTCAAGATAAAAGTTGTATTGAGTGGCTTTAAAATGGCAACCCCCTACTGAGTTATTTTATAGACTTTGCCTTATTTGCTATTTACAGACACAATTCTGTAAAATATGTGGGAGAAGTATTTTTACATAAATACTCCTTATTTATCTTACAAATAAGGAGAAGGTAAGTGACTCCTCCAAGGGCACAGTAGGAATTAATGGTAGATTTGGAACTTGAGCTCAGGTTCCTGTGTCTTTCTTTATGTGTTTTCATGCATCTTTTCCTGCCTTAGAGAATGTGGATACTTTTGACCATACCTAAGATATAGCTTCTTTACATTATTTATGGGCTATTTCATGGATTAATTTCTCATTGCACACTCACTATTCAGGGTTGCCTGGTCCTTCTCTTCAAGAAGCAAGGTAAGCTACTATATTCTATATACACTGTTAGTGAAAAACGTAATTCATGCAAAAGGAACTATACATACTATCAGTTGTTTGAGCTGAGAAATAGATGTTTTGAACATTTTTTCAAAAACAGTAAGTTGAAGCTGGAGTGTAAGTGTCAAAACTTCCATTAGTACGGGTTTTAGTGATACTTGTGAAGCATCCTGCTACTTCCCTATAAAAAATAAGATAGATAACACTGTTTGAGTACATAATAATTTTGTTTTGTTCACTATTAGTTCATCTCTCATTGGAGGTAAAAGAAAGGTGGGGGGCTGTCACCATCGCGAGGTGGGGTCCTGGTGATCGGAAGAGCCGAAGTGATGGGGGGACTACTGACTGACTACTGATCAGTAGACAACTTTATTTCTTACAATCACTTCTTTTATACTTTCCACAAGATCCAATTACAAACAGAATCTAGATGTATGTGCAGGGCATGGGCTATGTGTGAGATGTGATTTACGTTCAGGCAATCAAGTGAGACAAGTGAACAACAACGATTATCTCTTAGATTTAAATGACAATATCTCTTAGCTCTAAATGTCAAGAACAAGTTAAGCATTCTCCACACTTACCAGATCTATCTAAAGGATGACTGGAAAACACTTGAGGTATCCTCCCATGTTTATTCCGGGTGTTGCCCTCCATCTCCTGGAGTTTTCTCACAGGATCTGACTGGATCCAGTCACATTGGCGAGGATCCGGGTCATGTTCCAGCAGGCGGCTAGTGGTAAAGTAACTCCACTTTAAGCTACACAGGGAACTAAATGAATTAGCAATATTGAACTGCAGTGTAAACTTTGACCTATAATCTCATCCTTACTATCACTGGTACCTTTATATATGCTGTCTGTGAGGGGCCTAAAAGCACACAGATTCTGATTAAGTCAAAACTGAATTTCACACTTGAATCATCTCCATATTAGAGACATAACTGTAAAATATCATATAACTTTTCAAATCCTTAATTCCTTTAATGGGAAAATAAAAATAATAATAGTATTCACTGTATGCAAACACACACACACACACACACACACACACACATTTATATGTAAGGCCATTCACATTAGACCAGGATCATTTTGAAGTACAAATTATTAATGAAATAATGCACATGGTACTTATGCATTTCAGTTTCACTAGAATTTCTTTTTTGTTTGTTACTTTTCTCCTTTATTTCTCATTGATACAGGATATCTCATAATTCCCAAATAACATTGATGGATAACAACACAGAAGGGACACAGTTTATCCTGCTGGGACTAACCAATGCCCCAGAGCTACAGATCCCCCTCTTTATCATGTTTACTCTCATTTACCTCATCAATGTGATTGGAAACTTGGGGATGATGGTGTTGATTCTGTTGGACTCTCGTCTCCACACTCCCATGTACTTCTTCCTCAGTAACCTGTCTCTGGTGGACTTTTGTTATTCTACAGCTGTCACTCCCAAGGTCATGGCTGGATTTCTTATAGGAGAAAAGATCATCTCCTACAATACATGTGCTGCTCAGATGTTCTTTTTTGTAGCCTTTGCCACTGTGGAAAATTATCTCTTATCCTCAATGGCTATGACTGCTACGCAGCTGTGTGCAAACCCTTCCATTACACCACCATCATGACAACAGGTGTGTGTGCTCATCTGGCCATAGGCTCCTACATCTGTGGTTTCTTAAATGCCTCCTTCCATGTTGGGGACATATTCAGTCTGTCTTTATGTAATTCCAATCTGATCCATCACTTTTTCTGTGATGTTCCGGCAGTCATGGCTCTCTCTTGCTCTGAGAAACATGTTAGTGAGGTGGCTCTTGTTTTTATGTCAAGCTTTAATGCCCTTTTTGCTCTTCTGGTTATATTGATTTCCTACCTATTCATATTTATAACCATCTTGAGGATGCAGTCAGCTCAAGGGCACCAAAAGGCTTTATCCACCTGTGCTTCCCACCTCACTACAGTGTCCATCTTTTATGGGACAGTCATTTTCATGTACTTACAGCCCATCTCCAGCCATTCCATGGACACAGACAAAATGGCAGCTGTGTTTATTTTATGATCATCCCCATGTTGAACCCTGTGGTCTATAGCCTGAGGAACAAAGAGTTCAAGTGTGCATTCAAGAAGGTGTTGGAAAAAGCAAATTTTTCTATAGGATTGGCAATTTAACATTGCAGTATGCATAATAACTTTGTTTAATTCCACTCAGACTTTCCCCATGCAATGAACTACTTTTTAAGTCCCATGCTGCATTTAAATTTCTGAAGTAACATCGTTACCTCTTCAAAACTTTATTGTCTGGTAAAAAAAAAAAAAAACATATTCAGAAATATAATACCTGAAAGAGGATGGCTAATGGGAAGCATCAGAAATTTGGGAACCCACTTGTCAAACCTGACTAATAATATTTGATTTATTCACTTGTTACACTTACTTTTTCTCTGCCACATGTCAGTGCAAACATATATGTCAAGTAGGAGCCCAAGCAAGCCCATGAACAAAGCACATGTATGTGGTCCATGTAGGCACATACACACTTGCAGTGAGAAATTTGTCAGAGGCAAATGGAGTCTGGCTAGTTTTTTACAAAAATAATTTAAGTAGTTAATTGAAATATTAAATATAAAGTTATATCTAATTATAATTATTTATTTCACTGAGAAATTGTTTTAAGATTCTGAATAGAAGTGCCATGTACCTTTAATGAGAGTATGTACTTTTTGTCACATTTTATTGAGTGATATAGATCAGATCTAAAGGAATTAATACTTCTGTCTTGACTGATTCATCTTGCAGAATCAACATGTTCACATTATAATTTTAAAAAAGATAAAGAATAAAATCCCCTAAATTCCATAGCTTATCTTAGGGTTCTTTCTTGGTGTTATATATTATGGCTTTGGACAAATATATAATGGATTGTGTCCGTCATTATAGTATCATACAGAGTATTTTCACTGCTCTAAAAATGACCTGTGGTCTGTCTAGTCACTCTTCTCTCCCCAAGTCCCTGGCAGTTACTGATCTTTTTGTGCCTCCATAGTTCTGTCTTTACCAGAATCTCATATAGTTGGAATCATACAGTACATAGACTTTTCAGATTGGCTTCTGTCATGTAGTACAACACATTTGAAGTTCCTACATGTCTTTCCATGGCTTCATAGTGCATTTCTTTTTAGTGCTGAATAATGATGCCACAGTTTATTTATCCATTAAACTAATGAAGGACATCTTGTTTGCTTCCAGTTTTGGCAAGTAAGCATGAAGTTGCTGTAACATGCATGTGCAAGTTTTTGTGTGAACACAAGTTTTCAACTCATTTGGGTAAACACCAGTAATAAAGATTGCTGCATGATATGGAAAGAGTATGTTTACTTTTTTTTTTTGTATGTTTAGTTTTTTAACAAACCTCTATACTGTCTTCCAAAGTGGCTCCCCCATTTTGTATTTTGGCCAGCAATGAATGAAAGTTCTTGCTGCCCCACCATCACTGATGTTATCAGTGTTCTGGTTTTGGGCCATTTTTATTAGGTATATAGTGAAATCTATTGATGTTTTAATTTGCATTTCCCTGATGACATAGGATATGTATCATCTTTTAAAGCACTTATTTGCCATCTGAATTATCTTCTTCTATTTTTATCATTAGTTTTTGATGTAGTGTTCCAAGATTCATTGTTTACATATAACTGCCAGTGGTCCATACAATACATGCCCTCCTTAATACTCATCTCCAGACCAACCCACCTCTCCACTATCCTCCCCTCTAAAACCCTCAATGTGTTTCTTGGAGTCCACAGTTTCTCATGGTTTGTCTCCCCCTCTGATTTCCCTCCCCTTTCACATTCCCCTTCCTTCTCCTAATGTCCTCCATGTTATTCCTTATGTCCCACAAGTAAGTGAAACCATATGATAATTGACTATCTCTGCCTGACTTATTTCACTTAGCATAATCTCCTCCAGTCCCATCCATATTGATGCAAAAGTTGGATATTCACCTTTTCAGATGGTCGAGTAATATTCCATTGCCTATATGGACCACATCTTTATCCATTCACCTGTTGAAGGACATCTCGGCTCCTTCCACAGTTTGGCTATTGTGGATATTGGTGCTATGAACATTGGGGTCTTATTGATTTCTTTATTTGAATAACTTTTTTAAGTCCTAATTAAAGAAATGAGTCATGTTTGTCACTTGTATTGAACACAATACTGGAAGTCCTAGCCACAGTAATCAGACAAGAAAAAGAAATAAAGGGCATCCAAACTGGTAAGGAAGAAGTTAAACTATCTTATTTATAGATGACATGTTACTGTACATAGAAAACTCTGAAGAAAACACTAAAAAAAATCAGAAAAAATGATTTCAGTAAAGTTGCAGAATTCAAAATTAATACACAGAAATTGATTGCATTTCTATACACTAATAATGAAGTACCAGAAAGAGAAATTAAGAAAATAATTCCATTTACAATTGCACAATTGTTCCATTTACAACACTTAGTGGGAGCTCCTGGGTGGTCCAGTCAGTTAAATGTCTGGTTCTTGGTTTAAGGTCAGGTTATGATCTCAGGGTCATGGGATTGAGCCTTGCACTGAGCTCTGTGCTCAGGGCAGAGTCTGCTTAAGACTCTTTCTCCCTCACAGTGCCTTTGTGGCTCAGTCGGTTAAGTGGCTGCCTTTGGCTCAGCCTCTAATCTGGGGATCTAGGGATCGTGTCCCACAAGAGGATCCCTGCTCTGCAGGGAATCTGCTTCTCCCTCTGCCCCCCTCCCATGTTCTCTCTCACTCTTCTCTCAAATAAATAAATAAATAAATAATCTTTTTAAAAAAAGACTTTCTCCCTCTCACTGTGCCCCATCCTCCCCCACTCTATTTCTCTCTTTCTCTCTCTCTAAAATAAATAGTCTTTTAAAAAAATACCAAAGAGGGGCACCTGGGTGGCTCAGTGGGTTAAGGCCTCTGCCTTCTGCCCAGGTCATGATCCCAGGGTCCTGGGGTCGAGCCCCACATTGGGCTCTCTGCTCTGCAGGGAGCTTGCTTCTCCCCTACCTCTGCCTTCCTCTCTGCCTACTTGTGATCTCTGTCTGTCAAATAAATAAATAAAATCTTAAAAAAAATACCTAGGAACAAACTTAACCAAGGAAGTAAAAGACCTATGCTGTGAAAATTACAAAACACTGATGAAAGAAATTGAAGGTGAAAATAACAAATGAAAAGATATTGCATGTTCACAGATTGAAAAATGTACTGTTAAAATGTCCATACTATCCAAAGTAATCTACAGATTTGGTGAAATCCCTATCAATATACCAAGAACACTTTTTATAGAACTAGAACAAATAATCCTAAAATTTATATGGAACCACAAAAGACTCCAAATAGTCAAAGAACCTGGAAAAAGAACAAAGCTGATGGTATCACAATCCCAGATTTCAAAATATACTATAAAGTTGTAGTCATCAAAACAGTATGGTACTGGCAAAAGAATAGACACATCGACTACTAGAAAAGAACAGAAAGCCTAGAAATAAACCCATGCTTATGTGGTCAATTAATCTTTGACAAAGGAGTAAAGAATATACAATGAGGAAAACACAGTGTCTTCCATAAATGGGGCTGGGAAAACTGGACAGCTACATGCAAAAGAATGAAACTGAACCACTTTCTTACACAGACGCAGAAATTTAAACTCAGAATTGATTGAAGACAAAAATGTGGACCTGAAACCATAAAACATCTAGAAAACACATACACAGTAAATTCTTTGACATCAACCCTATCAATATTGCTCTAGATATGTCTCCTCAGGCAAAGGAAACAAGCAAAAATAAACTATCAATATAAACAGCTTTTGCACAGTGAAGGAAACCATCAACAAAACAAAAAGGCAACTACTGAGTGGGAGAAGATAGTTGCAAATCATATATCTGATAAAGGGTTAATATCCAAAATATATAAAGAATTTATGCAAAAACAATGAATACTGTTATGCTGAAAAGAAATAAAAAATTAAAAAAAAAAGAATTTATGGAACTCAATACCAAAAAAATAGATAACAATTTGATTTAAAAGTGGGCAGAAGACCTGAATAGACATTTTTCCCAAAGAAGACATACAGACAGCCAACAGACACATGAAAAGATATTCAGTATCACTCACCATCAGGGAAATGCAAGCCAAAATCACAGTGAGATATAACTTTACACCTGTCATAATGTCTAAAATCAATAAGACAGGAAATAACAGTGTTGGCAAGAATGTGGAGGAAAAGGATCACTCACACACTATTAGTGGGAAGGTAAATTGGTGCAACCACTGTGTGAAACAGTATGGCACTTCATCAAAATAAAATGTTTGTTGCAGCATTATTCACAACAGCCAAATCATGGAAGCAACCCAGGTATTCACTGATAGAGAAATATTTCATTATATTACTCATCCGTAAAAGAGGATGGAATTTTGCCATTTACAACAACATGGATGGACCTAGATGGTATAATGCTAAGTGAAATGTCAGTCAGAGAAAGACAAATACCATATATTTTCACTTGTATGTGGGATCTAAAAAACAAATGAATAAATTAACAAATAAAAAGAAGAAACAGACCCACAAATACAAAGAGCAAACTAATGGTTTCCAGAGAGGAGGGGTGTGCAGAGATGTGCAAAATAGATGAAGGGGAGTGGGAGATACAGGCTGCTAGATATGGAATGAATAATTTACAGTAATAAAAAATACAACGTAGGGAATATAGTCAATGGTATTGTAATAGCATTGTATGGGGTCATATGGTAGCTACATTTACGGTGAGAACAACATAACATATAGACTTGTCTAATCACTATGTCCTATGCCTGAAACTAATATAACATTATCTGTCAAATATACTTCAGTTTTAAAAAGTGTACTACTTATAAATAAAATAAGTCAAGCAGAGAAAGACAATTATCATATGGTTTCACTTATATGTGGAACATAAGTAATAGCATGGAGGACATTGGGAGAAGGAAGGGAAAAATAAAGGGGGGGAATAAAAGGGAGAGACAAACCATGAGAGACTATGGATTCTGAGAAACAAACTGAGGGTTTTAGAGAGAGGTGGGTGGGGAGGTGGGTTAGTCTGGTAACAGATATTAAGGCAGGCACTATTGCAATGAGCATTGGG